TGACAAGGTATACTTAGGTTGGGTGATGGGGTACATATACAAATACTGAATTTCATATTTGATGCATATTATAATTGTAACTTATTTTTTACTGTATTGAATTATATGAACTCACCCTCTATTGTTCACAGACGATGTAGGAATGGAGTCGGGATCTGACTTACTGGTTTCCGGGCCTAATGTATAGAGCAACAGAATAAGGATCTTTATAGACAGATTGAATGTGTAAAAGTTAGTAGTATAGTGGATAGTATGTCTATTGATAGTGTATACGGCTGTATATTACGTGATGTTATACGTGTGATTGCGGATTTATTTTAACTCTAAACAATAGATTGTGATAGTGTTTCTATGTGCATGCTTGACTTGAAATTACACTATTAGAAATGAAAAAAGGGGCTTATAAATACTAACTTTTCTCAATTGAAAATGGTATTTAAAATTAAAAATATTAGGACCACTAATTTTTGGCCTCTAACTGTTGGTTAGTTTCCAACGACTTCATAAAAGAGATATTCTTTCAAGCCCGGTTATGGTTAAAAATATTACGATAATTAGGAAACTAAAAAAAGAAAAAAGAAAAAGGAAAGTAAAAAAAAAAAAAAAAACATCGGTGAGTTAGCATCTACGGTTGGAACATTCCATTTGGAAAGTGGGCCCCACTAACGAAAACAGGAGTTTTGGATAGGGACGATCTCCACTGGTCCGTAAACTCATCCCGCCAAACGCGGCGACCAGATAAAAGTGGGACCCACGGATAACACCTAGTTTCACGTGGTCACCAGGTGTCGACACCGGGAGGCGATTGCGATTCCCAATTTCCTCGGTGACGTGTACCGGGTCATTCTGATGGATGATGGTCATTGGTTGTTCTGGAGTGGCCCCAAGGAGTTTGTGTTCCACGTGGCTTACGTGTCAGTACCCGAGGAATTGTGGGGCTGGACGAGGAAAATGGGAAGTGTGTGTCTGTGTGGGTTAGGTTAGGCGCCCGATTTTTATCAACTTATTTATCGGACAATGTCTCCGTAAATTAGGCCTTGACTTCCATTAAATTACGTAAATGCCACTGTTCTCCTTGTTTTTCGTATTTTTGTTTTAAAAAAAAATCCATCTCTCATATTACATCCCTATCAGTGTTGAACCCATCAAATGAGAGTGGTTCTTTTTTATTGAAGGCCTCCTGACTTGTTCAAAAACCAGTTTCCTTTTTTTGAATTTAAAAAAACGTGATAAAAATTATTCTGGAAGACATGTAAGTAATGATGTTTATCCGATACTCTTTCATATTTAATATTTTTATAAGACTTAAAAAACGTGTTCCTTTTGAAATCTTGGTGTGTGTATTAAAAAAAATAAAATATTTATAATATTTAAAAATAAAAATAAAAATAATAAAGGAGGGGCAAAGTAGTAAAAAACAATAATAATAATAAAGAAGGCAATCCTTATCCAATTGCCAGATAGGACCTGGTGCGGTCGGACAGCGCGGCGCTGTCTTACTCAGTTGCTTTCGATAATCTTTTTTTTTTTTAAATTTAACTTAATTAACTTTTTTTAAATATTTAAATTATATATTTTTGCCCGTCTTCTTAATTTATTTTCGAGCTTGCAGATTATTTGGGTATTTAATTATTTAAAAATCTTTAATAAATAATTTATATTTGAAAAATATATTTATTTATGTTAAAATATTCGAAACTGTAGCAGTATCGGGAAGCAAAACGCGTTGCAATATCTTTACCAGCTGTCACTAATTAACTCCCGCCTCATCTCATCTCATCTCATCTCATCCACTTCCGAAAGTTCAAAATGCTGTTTTTTTTTTATAAAAAAAAACAAATTTACCAAAATACCCTCCCGATTGAACACACCACCTTCAACAGTAATTTTTAAAGATTTAATTGTGAGGGTATTAATCAAAAGATAAATTAAGTATTAATTTGAAAAAAATAAAATATCCGCACATATATAAAATTAATGTAAAACATGTAATTTGCTGGTCCTTCAAAATAAATTAAAAAAATAAAACGTGTAATGTGCTGACACTTCACCGAAGTGTCATGGAACGATTCTTGAATTATGTAACAATAATATAATAAATATTTTTTTAAAATATATATATATATAATTAATATAAATAATAAATATATAATTATCTTATGTTTTTATCATAAAATTGAGGGATGAAATAGGAGATATGTGCATCTGAAACTTTTCCCTTTTGACTTGTTAAGCTGTTTGGCTGAAACTTGCCTAAACTTGTACTTCTTTTTAATCACTTTAACAAAATTGAATTTTACAAACACATAAATGTATGAAATACTATTAGAAAATAAGAATATCAAATTTTTTATTAAAAATATATATATTGTAATATTTGTAAACTCCAATTTATGATAATAAATCTTTTGAATAAACTTGATCAATTATATCTAATTATAATTACGAAAATTATTAACTTTGATCCTCAAAATAAAATAAATATATAACGAGATTAAGAATCATGTCTGATTATAATTCAATTGCAAATAAAACATTTGGTTATAATAATAATAAATTAATGGATATAGATGCCATTTGCATACACAATGCACCAAATAGACATTATCTTCCAGCTTTTGATTATTTTGATCGAAATATTTCCAAGTAGAATCATTATTGTATATATATATATCAACCGACCTCATTATCTTTTGTCTTCTTATTAATTTTGGATATAATATTTTTTTAATAAAGTGTAAAGTTGCATTATTGAATAATGTAAAAATTTAATGGCGTGCGCTGAATGAATGTACTATTATGAGTATTTATATTATATAGTTTTGGATTTAAACAAAAGATTAATGATAATAATTAAAAGGATAATGTTGTTAGATTAATTTAAAGGCATTAAAAATGTTGGATGGCAAATAGGGTTAGGTTGGTTGGGTTTTTTTTTTATAAAAAAATTGACATTTAAGAAGAGGGGCCTATCCATGTTTGACTTAATTTTGTTAATTGAAATTTAATTTTGCATTAAATAATTAAACACTAGACATTGTGCTTGACAAAACCTACTTGCTAATGTAGGATAAGAAGATAATATTCTTTTTTAATACTTAAACCCAACTGTTTTACTCTACCTATATATATATATTAATATTTTTTGGGTTTTGATATTTAAACCTTAATTAATAAATTAGCCAAATTATAACTTAATGTCAAATAAGAATCAAATGAAAATACAAGATACGTACATACCCATTTTATATTATTGATATATCCTCTTATTTATTTTCATATATATATATATATATATATTTTTTCAATCAATAATGGATGATATGCCAATTTTAGTTTAACATAAACATTCCATTAAAAGACAAAAACAAAAAAAAATTGAGTGGAAATATCCAATTATCCTAATTGTTTTTTTTTTTCTTTTTTTTTGGGTTGCTTTTGGACCAAGTAGTGGGTGTCTCTATCCAACATTAGGTGAGATCTTGGCTAATTTCCATATAATTGCAAGTAAAGTGGATTAGATTGGAAAATCAGTTTAACAATTTCAATACCCCATAAAAATAAAATTAGAAATTTAAAAAAATAAACTTAAATTATTGGAAAAAAAAAAAAAATCACATTTAAAGTACTAGGCAAAAGAGCAAAAGAACTTCTTCCACCATAAAAATAATTCAAAAGCAAAGTCCCTTAAAACAAGCAAGCACTAGAATAAATAATATGTATAAAAAATGCACAAGGCTAATTGGAGGGGCATAATGGTAATTTGACAGGGAAAGATAGATAGGATAAGTAGAAACGTAACGCAGAACCCAAAACCATGGTTAGTAATTAACCATGGTTAAGCAGAAACATTGAACCCCCGAACTCTATTGGTATATATCATCTTATTATACTCCCCATCTAATCCCGTATCTGTTTTTATTGTTTCGCCATTCCATTCTCTCTTCTCTCTGTCTCTGACCATTTCGAAAAGAAATTTGACGGAACACGCCTATTTCCGACAAACGAGCCTTGTTCCGACGACGGAGCTTTGACGTTGTTTTTTAAACGGCGAGGTAAGTAGACGCTTCGATTTTTGACCGTTGAACCATAGCTTTCTCTGATCTACTGTTGACTATGTCTATCAAGTTAGCTTTCTAATTTTGCTTTATTTTCTTCTTCTGTTTGGTTCTCGAGAAACTGTTGGAAATGACACGAAATTACAGTTTTATTTTTTGGTATCGGTGTTTCCTTTTTTTTTTTTTTTCTTCTTCTTCTTTTAACGTAGATCATTTATCTTTTCGTTGTTCTTGTAGGATTAAGAGAGCTGTTTTTCACTTTGTTGAGAAGGATTTACTTTTATTAAAATGGTGCGAGCATGAGATTTATGAGATGTACGAGTTTACTTGCTTTATATTTTCCGTTGGAAAGAGAAACGGATGATATGTTTTTTTTATACGTTAAATTAAATGAGCCCGTAATATTTCTTTTTCCGGTTAGATGATTGCTTTTTCATTGATTGTACGAGATCCTGAAATTTAGTTGTTTACTTTATTATTTTGGTTTGGTGAAAACCTGGAGAACTTGCTTTGAATATTCTTTCTCTTAGTAATTTGGTCATGCAATGTCTACGTTTTTGGCAAACACTTGCTTGCTCAGTAGTCTGCTATTATTTGGAGCTTTTCCTGTTTTGGCATGCACATTGGGGTTCCTGAAAGTAACCAACTTGTGCGCGTCTATCCACTACGAACATAGATATTGTACCGTAAGATGCAGGAGGAACACGACTCCCGTAATTCTAGAAGGAGCATCCTGTGATACATCTTAGAGCTTTCGCTATGTTGACATAGTAGGCATCTACTGTACCCACCGTATTTCTTCTCTCAAATGCATATGTTCACTGCAATTGTATCCACGGGTGGGTGCGGGCAACAACATGGATCGTCATAGGATTTTTTTTATACCCATTTGCCGTTAGGCAGGGTAGATGTATAAATATGGTATCAGACTATGTCTTTTCATGAAGAAATCAGAGCATTCCAAGCAATCACCAGTCGTTATTTGTCTAAATGTTGGCATATTTGCATTTTTTTCACGAGCACATCATATATTATGACAATCCTGAAAATTGTTTTTCAATGGTAAAGCTTACGAATAAGTTGATTAAAATGAAAAGATAGGATGAACAATTTTTATGGCCGTGGATCTTTCACATGGATAAAAGCATCAAGTTTATTCCAGCATGCTAGTTATGTGACTGAGATTTCTTCTTTGTCTGACATTCTACTTTTGTTCTGCTGAACTCTGCCTTCCACAGTTACATCTATGCAGCATGCATTCAGTTTTTTCTTTTTCACCATGTTTTCATACTTTTAACTATGCTTTTAAAAATATCTTGGGATGGTAAAAGTCTTATATCATCAGTATCGGTGTCAGTTCATCAAAGTAGTTGCAGCTTCATCTTCATCAATTTCCTGGCACTGACTTATAGTATGTCATAAGAATGTCCTTTGTATGGTACTCTTTCCTCATTACGTTTTGTCCTTGTGGGTATAGCTTAGGACGATGTGAGAATGCTTACTGTTTTTAAAGAGAAATATAAAATGCTTAGTGTTTTCTCCTTTGGTTGTTTGAGTTAGCATTAAGTGCAAAATATGGATTTGCAAATTGGCAAAAGTTTTTTTATGTGAATAATAATATTATTTATTTGCAGGTCTCTGATGCTTTTCTACTAGAAAGTGCTTGGAAGCATTCTGTTTGCATGACTCCTTAGAGATAACACTTGCTATTAGTCATGGTATCAAGAAATTTTTTGCACTTGGCTTCTGGGGACCTATTGGATATTCCCCAAACTCCTAGAGCTCTTCCTCGGGTGATAACTGTGCCTGGAATCATTTCCGATTTGGATGGTTATAGCAGTAATGAAAGGGATTCAGATATTATGCCATCTGTTCGATGCGAAAGAAAAATTATAGTAGCAAACATGTTACCTTTGCATGCCAAACGAGATACAGAAACTGGAAAATGGTGCTTCAGCTTGGATGAAGATTCACTGTTACTCCAACTAAAAGATGGTTTCTCATCTGAAACAGAGTAATATATGTAGGGTCCCTCAAGGCAGATGTAGATGCTGGCGACAGGAGATGTTGCCCAAAGACTTCTGGAGGATTTTAACTGTGTTCCAACTTTTCTACCCCTTGAGTTA